AAATTCCACATTAGCATAATTCTCAAAAAAACATGTTTATGTATTTTTCTTTATAGTCCACTACTCTTCTCCAGCATGGAAATCTGAACTCTCAACTCTTTATTCTCCTTCTCTAGAAAAGCTGTCATTAAGAAAATCAAGATTGATCAAATTAAGAATCTATGCAGTTCAAGAAAATGATTAAAGAAATACACTCTAAAAATATTACACAATCACTCTAAAAAAAATTCACACTTCACACACTTTCTGGAAATTCAATCTAGTTAACAAGAATGTTTAGCAAAAAATTAAGCAAGACTCAAACAAATCAAGTAGTGAAAAATGTCTAAATCGCTCAAGATGTGCCTAAGCTCAAAACTATGCTCAAGCCTAAGTCTAAACACTCAAGACAATATCTAAAACACTCAAGACAAAGCTTAACTCACTCAAGAATGAACTCACTTAAGACTATGTTTAAAATGTTCAAGACTAAACTTAAATCACTCACTGCATGAGATAAATCGCTCACAGCATGGATCTAAACTGCTTAAGGGGTATGAATGAGTCTGGTCAAAACCGCTCAAAGAGTGTGAAGAGGTGTGCGATGTAATCTAAATCGCTCAAAGCTGTGCATGAAACCTATCAAAACCGCTCAAGGAGTAGATCTAAATTCGGTCAAGTATGCATACATGAAATAACTCGCTCAACTTATCAAGTTAAATCACTCACTGCATGGATAAATCGCTCACTGCATGGAATTAAATCTCTCACTACTAAACTTAAGTCGCTCAATACACTACCTTAATCCGCTCAAGAGGGTGCGAGTATTCGGTCAAAGCTTAACACTAACTCGCTCAATGTTTAGCTCTAACTCGCTCAAGACGACTTCTAAATCGCTCATTGCATGAAGTATATCGCTCAACACTAGTTCTAAATCGCTCACTGCATGAAGTAAGTCGCTCAAAGCAAATCCTAAGTCGCTCAATGCATGAGATAAATCGCTCAATGCATTATCTAAATCGCTCAATGCAGATTCTAAGTCGCTCAATGCATACTGTAAATCGCTCAAGCTATGGGATAAATCGCTCAAGACTATTTCTTAATCCGGTTAAGTTCGCACAAGAGATGTCTCTAAATCGCTCAACACCTAGATATTAATCGCTCAAGGACCAAGCCTAGCTCGCTCAAGGGATGTGCGATGAAGGATTAAATCGCTCAAGCTTGAAATAAATCGCTCACTACTAACCTTTTAATCCGGTCAAAGGGTGAGCTATGACAAACTAAATCGCCTAACACACTGCCTTAAACCGCTCACAACTATGATGTAACTTGCTCCAGATAAAGTCTTAATCCGGTCAAGAGGTGTAAGATGAAGACATTAACTAGCTCAGAGGGTATGCATGAAACCGGTCAATATTTAACTCTTAGCTCTAAATCATTCAATATGTGAACGATGAAGACACTAAGTCACTCAAAGCTGTGTCTAAACCTGGTCAACAAGTTGAGAAGAGCCAAGCTAAATCGCTCAATGAAATGTGGAAGAGTCCAGCGATTTAAGAAAAACAAGATCCAATCAAAAATTCCATTCAAACTTAGATCAAACTAACACACAAACACAAAATTTACAAAAACTCATACATAAATGGATCAAATTCTATCTTTTTGATGAATTTTTATAAGAACACGAAGAATTTCAAAATTCATAAAACTCTTCAAATCTTTACTGTCAATGATCAAATCATGAAATTGAATGAATAGCACTGATTCACGACATAAAAACGTACACAATGATCACAATTTTAACAAATAAACATCCAAAAATGAAATATTTAAAAGAAATTTATGTAGAGCAAAGATGAACATTCAAGAACAAGATGAACTTCAAGAACAATATCATGAAATTCCAGAAAATTGTGCAACTCTTGATGATTTCTTCAATCAAATTTCCTGCAAATCTGCTCTGATACCAATTATTAGTCCCAATTATGATCAATCTTCAAGTAATCATCTAATCAACAATGGCAGACATGATATTCATCTAAGAACATGTAGAAGAAGATAGAGAGAAAAAAGTCAATGCCAAATATATGGTCAAACTTCAATTACGTAATCTGAATATTACAATAAAGCTCTACCCCAAAATTACAAGGAACTCACCCTTTATATAGGGTCAAACATAAAGATAAAGTCAAAGTCAAACTATCTATGAAAAGTCAAACACGATGACATTAATACAATTATAACAAAATTAACTTTCAAGACGAATACAATTTAATACTGAATTTCAGTCGTAACAACTTTCATGAACCGTATTGGTCTTTAATGAACCGTATTGGGTCTTCATGAACCGTATTGGGTTTTAATGGAATGTATTGGGCTTTAGTTGAACGTATTGGGCTTTCATGAACCGTATTAGGTTTTAATGGAACGTATTGGGCTTTAGTTGAACGTATTGGGCTTTAATGGAACGTTTGAGCTTTAATGGACCGTATTGAGCTTTAATGAACCGTATTGGGTTTTAACGGTTCAATAATAACAATAATGTTAAAAAAATATGGTCATTCATGAAATATATAATAATAATAATAATAATTTTAGTGGTAATAATAATATAATTTTAAATTTAATAATAATAATAATAATAATAATTTAAAAATAAAATAATGGATGGGTTCTCGATTGGTCTTGATGGGTTCCGATTAGTCTTCATTGGTCTCGATCGGTCCCGATGGGTTCTTCATCGGTCTTGATGTTTCTTGATTGGTATCAACGGGTTTCCGATCCGTATCGATAAAAATTGAGAGTGGGAGGTTACGGTTTAGACACATCAACACATAATAAATCAATCAAGGGATTCTAGACAGGTCTCAATGGAAAATGAAGGTGGTAGGTTTTATATATATATATATATTAGTCAATTAATATACAATATACCAATTGGTTGATCGATGAACATAGTGCACCATCAATGAATATGGACTATGCAAAATTTTCTGTCACAAATATTTTTCCTCACCATCCAAACACTCACTAAAAACACCTACACCAAACGCAATAGCTACTTCACATGGTTTTGAGATTTCGAAAAAAAAAAATTGAAGGCATTAACGAGTAACAAAAAAAAGCTTCAATTCCATCCGAAAATTTCAATGAAAGAACCTTTCTCTATTTGTTTCTTTTAATGATTAAATTCATGATGAAGGAAATTACTAAGAATATGAAAATGTTATGCTAACCAACGTCTAAAACGACAAGTATCTCATGCTTTGCCTACCCAATCTTTCGGTGGATACATTTTATCAAGATCTTTTCCATTGAAAAACATGTACTAATTATATTAAGATGAACACGAACAAAGTGGACCCATTGTTGTCGGGTTTAGACGTTCAGAGTTGTGATGTCTAAGAACCAAGGATGACATCGCTCATTGCTAGGTCTTTTCCTCTTAATAACTTGTGTTACTAGGAACATGTAGTGATCAAGAACCTCTCATCCTACAATACCACATGTAACAATTTGAGATGGTTGTTTACTTGAGACCGTGCTTTCTAAAATTACGGTGGCCGAACTGAAACATAGGAGAAGAAGAGAGAAAGATGTTGGTGGTGGATTACGAGCGTAAAAGAAAAGGAAGAGAGGAAGAGTGACATCCTTTGCCTTTTCTTTTTCTTTTTTATTTAAAAGATCGTTTAATTTGAGTTGTAGGATTGAATTTGTTTGGTGGTTGAGATTGGCTCCCCAATTTTCAAAAAAAGTCTGGTTTTCATTTGAACTTCTTTTTCCTCTCTCTCTCTCTCTCTATATATATATATATATATATAGATACTACCTTATAAACCAGATTTATCAAAAGTCTTAAAAACAATTTTTAATGCACAAAATACTATACATTTATACATAAAGGCTAAAAAGTCTTAAAAACAACTCATAATGTATTAAGTACTACTACTTTATGTATTCAGTCATAAAATTTCTTAATCTACAATGAAAATAATATATAGTACAAGTTATCAATGCATATTATTATCTTTTCTTTTCATGTTACCAAGATAATTTTGACACCCTTCACTCATGCCTTCACCCTCTCATACCTCCATGTCTTCTCCCTATCCTCCAAGGTGAGATTCAAACTGATATTCACCATAAGTTATTAAAAGTTCTCTCATTCATCTCCCATTCAATTTGCACAAGAACTCTCGCTCTCGTTCTCGATCTCTTGATTCTTTGCTTTTGGCGTAAATCAAACACATATCTAGAGTCGTTTAAATATGTTGGATTTTAAGTATATTGGATTTTAAATCGTCATACAATTTTTTTCCATCGATAGACTGTAATTGGAATGATAACTCTTATTTATTCAAATTGTATTAATATATAAAGACCAAGTGTAACTTATATCATCGTTAAATCTTCTTTAATAAAACCAGTGAAACTTCAAAATCGTTAAAATTCAYGGYTCCCGCCGTATTGCGCGGATACACAACTAATATATATATATATATATATATATATATATAAGGAGAGAGACAGATAGATAGATAGATAGATAAATGTGTGTACGTTACCATTTTTAATTGTTATCAGTGTACACTAAAATATATTTTTCGACTGTAATTCTTTTGTTCTATACTGTTTATAGTTAGTCTTTTCTTTTTGCATGTTTCAATCGTTAGCAAGTTGCAACAAAGTCAAATAAAACAGTTGAAAACTTTTCAACAAAGTTAATATTAATTAATAATATAGAAAGATATAAAACATTTTAAATGGTGGATAATTATTGTGTCTGCATAAGCAATTGCTTTGAAGACTTAAATGTAATACATAAGGTAGTTGGGGGCTTAAATAAGCTTTAACAATAGTTTTAAAGACTTTTGACCAAATCCCTTCGTACATTCAACACTCTTGGTACATAAATTCAATGCTATATGCATTGACTATATTGTAAATAAGTAATGAGCTTTAATATAGATAATAAAACCAATACTTTAGATTGTGAGATAGAATTTTGTTTATAAAAATTCTAGTCTAAAGGGCTGTTTATCTAAATGCTTATCCGGTAAGTGCTTACAGATAAGATTCAACGTTATAATTTATTTTGATACGTAAGATTTTAGTACATCAAAACATATCGAATGCAACAAGTTACTCGGTAAGAATGGAATTCAAAATAAACTTCCGTCTTCTTATGCCATTGCTTTAAACTTGTTTCACTTCCATCGTAGAGCTAAATCCTCTTCCACCAGTGTCTCCTCAATCTTCTCCCATGGCATCCTGCGCTTGGCCATTTCTCGCTTCTTTGCAGCCACTCCAACACTATCTCCAGATTTCTGAAATTATTAAAGAGAATTAGTAACAAAAGTACAAACAAAATCCGAATCATCTTTCATTTATATGGTTTTTGTATACTTGATCATACCTTAAAGCAATATCCATCATATATGTCACAGATTGGATAGTCGTTAGGACAACAATAGGAAGACCCTTTGCAGCACACAGCATTAGAGTAACCACAACAACCGTAGATTAAACAGTAGTTATAGAACTCAAAGATGCAACAACATGTCTGGCCTGCAGCACAATAATAGGAGTCCCCACATTTGCTCGATGGAGAAGGCGGAGGAGGTGGAGGAGATGGCGGTGATGGAGGACTCGGTGGAGGTGGGGCAGAACTGTGTGGGTAAGACGGTTCTAGATTGATCCCACACACCCCGTTTTTTATATTAGTATTTCTTTTCATGAGAATCCATCCGTCCATGCCCCAATATGTACCCCATGAGTTCTTCACAATCCAGTAGTCTTCGCCATCTTGTGAACCGTAACCAACAACAAGCACCGCATGGTCTATGTCGTATGGGCTGCTCGAGCATTCCCCGTCATATATACCCTATGAAATCCAATTTATAAAATTAATATACACAAAATAAACAAAAAAAATAACATATAATTATAATCTTTTTAAAAAAGGTAAAGACTTACCCCAGTGTATAGTTGGAAATCATAAGCTGAGCCAACTATACCAACTGTAACAGGCTGCTTTGCCACAGCGCAAAGCAATGCATTTTCATTTGGTTCCACATCTGTGTAGCTATCAATTGATACAACTATATTGTTCTCCTGTTAAAAAAATGTTCAAATATTTTTATGTATCGACATAAACTTAATGTTCATCTCTATCCCACCAATTAACTCCTGACGTATTATTATTTTTTCAAATTGTCTTTTTTTTTTCTCAACAATGGGATATATAACGTGTCAGGGATTTTTGGTGGATAGGGATAGGACATGGAATTTAGAGATGAATGATTTGTATTCTTAATTAAGGTATAGGATTAGACCTTTGAGACGATACATTTACCATCATAACCATTTCCACTGGTATATGGGTAATCTGCTTCTGTATCAATTCCTCCATTTTTGATAACCCATCGAAAGGCGGTGTCCATGTTTCCGCCGTTACACCCGTAGTCGTAATTGTCACAGTCAACGAGTTCCTGCTCGGAGAGCCTAATGAGTTCCCCGGTGTCCAATGCATGTGCACTCTCGATGGCTCCAACCACAGAGAAGGCCCAACAACTTCCTGCAAACCAAAAAATTCAATAACAAAGATGACCATCCAATCAAACGGAAACTCTTTCAACTGAGATAACATCCAATGTTTATGAGTTATCGAGTTTGTTCTTTTGTTTCTTGTAAAATAAGTTAATGGCTCATTCCATCAGCCATTCAACATAATTTGGTTAAGTAATTGCTGAAAGTGATTTAATTGGTTGATTCGGTATGTATGTGGTGTTCTTGTTCGTAATTAAACTATTCTATTTCACACACAATAAAAAAGCCCATTAACACCAATAAGGCAAGATATCTGGGCCAGATAAATGATAAAAGTGACGGGCCTAATGAAAGCCCAATTGAAGTCCATTTATATATGTAGTGACAGAAACACATTAATAAGTGATGTAATTCTTTGTCAAAAACAGAAATATAAAATTTATGGAGTATATTACCTTACGGGTCGATATCAATATTCAAATGTGTTTATCAGTTAGTTTATACATTTAAATTTTATTTTGTGATAATAGCAGTGAAAACTATTAAAGAGTTGAGTTGCTTAAATGCACGTATGCATATATACACACAAACATACACACACACACACACACACATATATATATATATATATATCTATCTATCTATCTATCTATATATATCTATATATATATATATATATCTATATATATAGGGGCTGATTCAAATGCTAACCAAGATTATCGTGTTAACTTTGTTAACCGATCTTGATCGTTAATTTGGATAATAAACGGTTGTGATTTAATGATATTTAAAAATTAATTATTAAATTAATATCTTCAATTAACATATGTGAACAAAATATCAAAGGGTATTTAGGTAAAAAGTAATATATCTTTGATACACGAGTTGTCAGACATATCAACAACTTGTGTATATCTTCAAACCACATCAAACAAAAAAGATTAGACATATGAATAACATGTGAACCGTATGAACATCTTTTGTATATTCAGAAGTCAACTCTGCTGTATGTACATGAACACCTATGAACCAAGACATCTAGGGCTGTGTGTTTTCATACGTGTTCAAATGTTTTCACATGTGTGTGTGTGTGTATGTATTCATATGAACATCTAGTGACTTGAATATATATATGAACACTTATGAATCACGACATCTAAGGCTGTGTGATTTCTGATGTGTTCATATGTCAAATGTGAGAACTGTCGATTAAAATAAATGTGAATTATAGAACATGAACACATGTGAAAACCCAATTGCAATATTGCATCATGATCAATTGTGATATTTTCAGATTTGTAACTCTCAATTAGTTATTTGGGAGTTACAAAAATGACAAATTACTCAAATACCCTTGTATTTAATATATGAGTTATATTTGAACCAAAAGAAAAGATGGAATATGATTGGTTGAGCTTGGTTAACATAATTAACACAAAAAAATTGGTTAGTATTTGAACCAAGCTCTCTCTCTCTCTCTCTCTCTCTCTCTATATATATATACACATATATATGCTTAAAGGTGGAGGTTCAAACGAGAACCGCTGTGATTTATGAGAACGCGAGAACAACCCAATAACTTCAAAATTTTTTAATTAATAAATTAATTTATATTAAATATAAATAAATTAATAAATGCAGTAATGTAATTAAGTATTTTTTATTTTATTTTAATTAATTATAATTATCCTTTTTTTCCTGGATTGATCACGTTCGTTTCCACTCTCTTCTCTTCCCTTCCCTTGTGATAATTGTGTAATTGTGTGATTGTGTAATTATAACCTATCGAAACCATGATCAATCAAGTGTAACCATAACCTATCGAAACCATGAGTAATCGTTGCGATAAATGTGTGATTGTCTAACCCATATCACACCAAATCGTTTAGTGGATTTCGCCCGTAATCATTGTGATAAATGTGTGATTGTCTAATCCATTCGAAACCATGAGTAATCATTGTGATAAATGTGTGATTGTCTAACCTTAACCGATCGAAACCATGATCAAATCGAGTGTGCTGTTATGATAGTGATATCACATGATTATCACACCCATATCACACCAAATCGGTAGTCGATTTTCTAAGTTAACCCTAGCCGAGCGGAATTCTTGTGATAATTGTATGATAATCACATGATTATCACACCCAAATCACACCAAATCATGTTGAAATAAGCGATAACCATAATAGCCCATTATGTTATCCAGATTATTGGGTTTAGTGTGATCGTGTTTTTAAAATTTTATCACTTTGAATTCCAATATTACCCTTTTGCCTCAACTTTTTTTTGAATTGTTTTAATTTCATTTTTAATTTAAAAAATCTTTTAATTTTTATTGTTATCACAATATGAGTTTAATAAATAGGTTGTTCTTGCGTTTTCGCAAATCATAAGATTTCTCGTTTGAACCCTTCCCTATGCTTAAATACACGTATATATACATTGACGTGCACACATACATATGTATATATATGCGTAAATACACATGTATATATATATATATATATATATATACACTGATGCATACACAAACATACATATATATATATATATAAATATATATATATATATATATAATCTGTAAAAATTGGAATAATTATAGTCGATGGTATGTCTTACCACACTGTCCTTGGTCTTTAATTGGAGTGACGACTCCTTTCTCCCTCCAATCCAAAGAAGCAGGAGCATCGCAGGAATCCCCACCTGCTGTTGTATTCTTCTTTATTCCATCACCCTTCATCTTTAATTTATTCGAATTCGACCCCTTAACTTTTGATAAATAAGTTTCCTTGAACTCTTCGTTGCTCAAATCAGCAAACTTGTTCAATCCCACCATGTGCTCCTTCTCCGATTTCCGCTTTGAGTTTTTCTCCAACACATATTTCAAACTCCTCCGAAAATTTACTAACCTGCTCTCCTCCTCTTGTGCGTGCTCGTACGTTTTTCCATGTATCTCTTTCCATTTTTGGAATAGTTCCAAGACCTCTTCTCCTGATGAAGCCTCGGTTTCTTGATCGTGTAGTATTGAGATCTCGATCGGGAAACTCAACGTTGCGATTTGAGATGAAACAAGGATGATCGAGAAAAGAAGAGTGTGTAGGGTTTTTGAGTTACCCATTTGATCAAAAGCTTGTCTTTCTTGCTACAAGCAAATCTTGAAAATTTTCTTGATATGGTTGCCCTTTCTATACATCACTAGCTTTTGGTTCACTAATTATCTTGGATTATTTATTGAAGTCCAAAATGACCTTGGAATGGTGGTAGGAAGTGGAAACTAGTGAGGATATTTTAGTCATTTTAAGCGGTTAAAAAATAATATCTCCATCGTTTTCAAGGTTAGTAAAATTCGAAATGGTTACGACACTTGGCTTATTTGCCATTTGTTGACTTTTTGTTTGTTCCTTGGACTATGGCCTAAAGGTGATGGTAACTTGCTTTGTCAATACAATAAAATTTATTAATTCTTTTTACTTGTAAAAATAATTTTTTTAATAAAAAATGATATTATATTTTATGAAAACAAACATTTTATATTTTTGATTATTAAGTATAGCGGTCTTCTTTTTGTTTTTTTGGGTTCAAAATTACTTGTTTGGAGAAGTTATAAAAAATAAAAGAGTAAACTTTAATTTTGGTTCCCGAGTCCGAAAGTGCGATCTAAATTTTGACAAGTTCAAAAAATATCATTGTGGTTTTTATTTTTCTCTGAAAGCGGTCATTCGTCACTAATTATCCCGTTTGTTTTCTTTGTTAGAAGGAGGAACATTTTCGTCTATTTCATCTTTTTTGTCTTTATTTTTATATTTATAACAAAT